TTTTTGTCTAACTACTGAATGAACTGCTGAAGATGTTCTCATTTTCCACATTTTAAAAATAACTGAGGCATGCAAGTATAACTTTAGGATATGCTATATATCCAAAGTATGACTTGTAGAGATATACAGTTCCCTCTCCGTTTTCATGGACTTGAAGTCTTTGTCCCTCACTTGTTTGTGGGTGGCAAATGGAGGGGGACAAAATGGGGTGTGCACCTGTGGCGCCTGCACGCAGGTGCCTGCAGGCATGTGTCCCCATTCAAGCCTTTATTTACAGTTTTCTGTTTTTGCAGAGGTCCAGAACAGATCACCTGTGAAAACAGAGGGGCAACTGTATATAGATCGTATTTTAAAAACTTTAAATACTTAATTTTTTTAAAAAAATTACAAAAGCTCCTGCATCAGAAATACATCTACTTCAAAATGTAGGATTTTCCATTAATATTTTACATTTAACAATAGAAAGTCAGCATGGTGTAATGGTTTGAGCACTGGACTATGACTCTAGAGATCAGGGTTCAATTCCCCTCTCAGCTATGAAAACCCCCTGCATGGCCTAGGCTGAGTCACACATTCTCACCCCAGAAAACCCCATGATAGGTTTGCCTTAGGGTTGACATATGTCAGAAATGATTTTAAGGCACACCACCACCACAACCTTTTAACAATTACATTGTGGAGCATATGAGCTATAAGCTATTACTAAACAATAATTTTATTAGAAATACAGTACAGCACTTTATCTGCATGATGCAGTAGTAGGCTTTGCACATGCAGCTGGAAATGTCTCAGAGAATTTAAGGGGTCTCACTTCTGAGCAGACATGTATATGAATGCACTTTTACTTTGGAACTTGGATAGAATCACAGAGCACTTAGGTAGGGTTTAGGGCAGACATTGTGGTAGAGCAAAGTTTGCTGAGTGATTTCATTTGGGATTTCATTTTCAGAATCTATACCATCAATCATATGACTCTGATTACATCCCTGGGCTTCACCGGAGTAAAGGGTGGAAGCTCAGGTCCTTAGGAAAGTCATCATTTTGCCATATGTTGCTATAACCTGCCATTCATTTTATAACATCTCATCAGCAAAGTGGAAACAGATTTTTCTTAACTAAGTGCTTTCAGTTAAGTCTAAAAATACTGCCATTGTCAAAGGTTAAACTGTTGCCTGACTTACTCTTGTAAGCATTAAGCAATCTATTTTGTGTGCTACAGAGGGAAACAAAAAGTGGGCACAGTTTAAGCAAAAGAGAATGAAACAAAAGGGAGAATAATGATATAACTGTTGGCATGGAACTCATAATAATATAGCTTGGACATGCAAAGAAAGACCCATTCATTTTTATAAATTAAATGCAGAGCTTTATGCTAGAAAACATTCATTGGCACAACAGAAATTGGTGGTGAATTGGAGATAGTTGTGTACCTTCAAGTCATTTCTGACTTATGGTGATCAGCAAACATATCATGGTGTTTTCTTGGCAGGATTTGTGCCAAGAGGGGATTTGTCATTGCCTTCCTCTTGAACTGAGAAAGTGTGACTATCCCAAGGTCACCCAATGAGTTTCCATGAGTGAATGGGAATTTGAATCCTGGTCCCCCAGAATCCTAATCCAACATTCCAGCCACTATATTATGCTGGCTTGCATCAACATGACTACCTTTGCCTCTATATTTTTCCTAGAACCGTTCCCTTGCTTGGAATACCAACAATTACTGCCATCCAATTCTGCACTCAGTTTCAGCAATAAGGGCTCCCAGGACAGACTACTTTTAAAAGAAGTAACTAGGGTGAACACATACTAGAAAATTTAAGTACTGCAACATCTCCCATATGTTTCCTCCCCTTTTCTTTGGCTATATGTGAATACAGTGCCTCATCTGAATCATATTGCTACCCATACCCACGCAGTGGGAAATGGTGCCTTTTCAAATACAGGCAGACATTTATCTTTGCATGTAAGGAAGATCTTTGTTGGCAAATGCCAGGCACTCCAGCTATACCAACTGCTGGCCAAACACTCATGAACACATTTGACTTGTTTGCAGAATCACTGTTTAGCAGTAGCTAATAGACTAGTGATGGCAAACCTTTTAGAGACTGAGTACCCAAACTGCAACCCAAAACCCGCTTATTTATCAGAAAGTGCTGCGTCCCTCTGGCTTTTTAGTAATAAACTCTAGTGAACTCTGTGCTGGGGCAATGATGTGCATGCCCACAGAGAGGGCTCTGAGTGCCAACTCTGGCACGTGTGCCATAGGTTCGCCACCACTGTAATAGGCCATATAGGCTGCAATCATGCATGGCTCATCATAGCGTAGTAATTTGGCATGTTGAACTATGCTACACTGAGCAATTTAACACCTATTGCAGAGCCACTAATACTCCTCACTCAGTCATTCATGATTGGCAGAAAGTCTGAAGGATTGTAGAAGCATTTGGCTATGTCTTCCTCTGGCCAATGCTGAAACAATTACATGATATTCTGATGTAATCATTTTGCATCTGGTAGATTCAGGGGGGGTCATTTGTTCACTGGAGAGAGAGGAGGGGAATACCTGTTCGGTTTCGGTGGAGTAGGGTGTTTGTAAGTCCAGCAGAGTCA